TCAGACACAATATCACCGCTGACCGCTTTCACCCCTTAGAGTGACTGGCGTCTAATTTCTCCTTACATTACCACCCCTGATCACGAATCACACATCAAGAACAGGAGAACGAAGGAAATGATCACCGATTAGACGACCTCTTGATTGTTAAACAAATTCTCCTTGGCAGCATCCTTGGAAATGTATTGAGAACAGTATGGAGAATATGCATACTGATGTCAGGTCGTAATGGCCGGGTTAACAGAAAAATATCCCCTCAAATACGTCATGCTCTTTTATAATTTAGCGTAAAGTTTTAAGTCCAAGCTTATCATTTGAAAACAGTGTCGGTCCCAGTCCATCCTCAATTATGCTAGGTGCCGTTGTTGCGAGGCTTAATTCAAGAACTTTCGCGGAAAAGTGAAACAGGGAAATAAAAAACAGACTTCTGTCGGCTTATTTAACTGCTTAAAGTGGATTCCTTTTTATGCTGAATCATATGTAAATCGATGCACTTTAACCTACAAAAGGCTGAATGGCGATACCCCTGAATATGTAAATGATTTACTTAGCAGGAACTCTGACACACATTATATAGATCAAGCCGTTTCTGTAATCTTAACTTAAGTTGCCCTCGATATAAGAAAAGTAAGGAAGGAGGTCGAACGTTTGCTGTGAGAGCAACAAAGGAATGGAACAAACTAAGTGTGGACCTCAAACGGAGTACTAGTGTCAAAAACTTTAAGCGTTCCCTTTTTAAAATAGTTCTAAATAATCAAATTCTTACGCAATTATTCATGTAAATTTTAAAATTTGCAAATAACCACATTTTATAATCTTATTTTGCGATGTTCAAAGGCTTATATACTATTTTAATTACTATTAATATTATTACAACTATTGCTATTAGTTTGTGTTTTTTTTTAGGGCCATTAGGTTATCAGTTGTATTACTGTCAAATGTTGCCCTCATTAAATTAAGTCCTACTTACTTGTTAGGGACCTTAAGCAAACCAGGACGGCAACGAGGACATGGAAAAACAAAAGATCTAATCGGCAGAACAATAGCTCAGCACGTGCGTTTTAAAACTAAGTACATTTCGTAGCCGTCCTTTGCGAAACAACGACGTGAAATCACCAAAATTTGCGTCGTCTGCGAACCGAAACCGCGACGGCAAATCATTTCATTTTCATTTGGAACTCAACGCTACCTTTATACGTTATGTTGAGGTTGAGCTGTGGCACCGTAGGAGACGGTAAACACATGCAGCCATTTTCGAAATTCTAATTTAAAGTAGAAATTCATTTTTTAATCGACGTCTTCCTTGGTGTCGCCTTCCTGACTGCTTAAGGTCCGTATTTACTTACTTACTACCATCCTAATTATCCATGTTAATTTTTACAATATCGTATATTATCCTCTTTCTTGAGGATACCCATTTCAGTGCAAAATTTCTTTACAGAGGGGTATGTTGAATTCCTAAATGTAATATCCTAAAACAATCAATCGTCTCCATTAAAAACGTAGTTTCGTAGTGCGTGTTGACTCGCGTGACGCCCGTGGATATGGGTAAGGATAACACGCACTTACCATTACAGAGCAGATTTTTCGTTTTTACACAATTGGTAATGTAATTAAATGCGTCAGTTTGAGTTAAATTCATGAGAAAGGTATTGTTTCTTATCAGTTTCGTTGGCTTCAGATGCAAAACAGATTGCCAATTTCAAGCATTCTGCCTCTGAGACAAAATTCCTTTTAGAAAATGACTCCCGCTGAAATAGATAGAGAGACAGACTCCATGATTATGTCTCTTATGGATAACATGAAAGCCCTGAGCTTTCAAAGTCAGGATCTAAGCGAAGACAGCTCAATCTCCAAATTATCGAACTTGGACCAGATGAAAACCGTACTTCATTTCTATGACAATGTCATCGAGCAGTTTTCGAAAATCGCTGAAAATATTGTGAAGGCGGCTTCCTTGGATGAAGAGCTGGCCGGCGTTAGTTACACGGGAAGCATGAGAGATGGGACATACCTACCAGAGTTCTCGGAATCTTTTGATACATACTGGCTTGAAGAAGATGGCCAGCGCGAGACTATAGGAGGAGGGGAGGTTGTGGACCCAGAGTTTGAAAGCAGGAACCCAGGTCACAATCAGTTACTTAAGGTTTGTTCTTAATATGTTCAGTTTATATTCTCTATAAGGAAGAAGTCTGATTAAAAAGCAACAGCTTCACGAATTTTGTGAGTCATTTGGGGGGCATAGAAAATTGGAGAACTTTGAGACACTTTATTAATATTTTTTGGAGGGGAGGGGAGGGGAGGGGATGGGAGGGGAGAGGAAGAGAGATTGGAAAACGTTTAGGTGGAGGGAACAAGCCAAGTGGAACTACAATGGCTAAGAATGGATACGGAATGTCGATGTCGACATTGCAAAAGTTGAGACTAAATCTTTCGCGTTTCAGTGGAGCCTCAGAGAAAATTACTTTTAAATAGAATACAATTTTAAAAACAATTGTAAGCTGGAGTAGACAATCTGTTAGAATTGTTAGAATAAACAGAAAGGAAAGGTTGGTGTCTAAATTTGGCGAATAAATTTAGGTTATTAACACTGATCGCCAAAAGTGCCCTTGAAAATTCATGCTGAGTTTTTGGCGATCGACAAAGCACGGCTGGGACCACCCGTTATGTAAGCAAGTTATAATCGATGGAAACTGAAACTTTTGAGCGATATCACTGGAAACAAAAAATCCTAAATGTTAGGCGTAGCTGGTTTGCAATCTACGAGTTATTCATTGTGCTATTAATTTTCTATCAATACAGCACACGATAAAAAAAAAGGAAAAAACAAAAAACAAAAAACTATAGAGTAATCAAGTTGTAGAGGCACCAAGTTCTTGGGCCAAATGAATATTCCAGCTCTTTTCGTTAAATGAGATATTCACCACGTTAAGTTTTTTATAACTGACATGGTCGCGTGACTCCGTCATTTATGCAAAGGGCAATGTTAATGCTAATAATTACCCTCCTACCCAGGTTCCTCATTCAACTAAATTCGCAAAGACACGTAATTGATGAAAGTGAATTACAGCCTAACTTTCGAAGAGTGCAATTTATAGACTTTGGTGCGATATTGTGATAACATGTTTCTTTCTTCCCCTCGACAATATTCCTAAAGAGGTTTTCAGATCAAAATGGTACGAGACAGGATGGAGTTCACATTTTGTTTGAAAGTAGTACAGTCCTTGCTTTTGAAAGCATTGCTTTGTCATGTACCCAGAGAATGTTATCATCTCATAGCTTAGATTATTTTTATTGAGCTTCGTCGAGGCTGCCTCTTATAGACACGAACGCGAGGAGTTTAAAAAAACCCAAACGCAAGTTTATTCACAGAGTTGAGATAACATTCTGGCGAAAATAAAAAGGTTAATTATGCAATGATCGAACGAAATATTAAAGAAATGTTCTTATCGTTTAGGTTGCGTACTTCGAAGTTATAGATCCGATGGATCACGATTACAAACTAACTTGGAGATGATTCAGCTAATACATGTGAGAACGAAAGTGAAACAAAATGGCGACCAAGAACAAAACAAAACGGGCGCAGTCGCTAAACACTTGTATCAATTACCGCTGGCCGAACTGAATGTACAGCGCTGCAGTCACACTCGTCGTTAGGCCGTTCAGTTTAGGTTTCGGGATGCGGAATGCATCTTAGGGACCATCGCCTGGGGTGAAGGGGGTCGGGGATTTTTTGGGGGATTACATGGATTTCAGTCGTCGCCAGTAACACATAAAGGGCGGAGTAGAGAAAACTGACTGCTACTCAACTGCTATCGAGGGGGGACCATCATAAGGATATTACAAAGCTTTATGGAAGGATCAGGCAAATTTTTTCGTGACAAAACCAAAATCCTACGAAACCTTCCCCCTTTAAAGTTTCAACTGGTACCGTTCTTCCTACATCCTCTAAGCAGCTGAAAATACATAAGGGTCTCGATTAAAATCGGTTGTGTGCGTTACACTTTTGATTCAGGTGTTGCCGACTGAGAAGCCAGGGTACTATATTGTAAGCTGGTCAGAGTATGGCCTGGAACGGAAGCGGCAATGGGAAGAGAAGTACAGGGTGGGTCCGGTCCCCAAGTGTTCGATCAACGTGTATATTCAATTTACCGAAGAATTCGAGTACGAAGGGAAAATGTTAAAGGTGATTTCACCTTACAAGATACGTCAGCATTTATTGACAGACCTGCCGGAGAGTATCCAGGGTATGTGGTACTGTTCCTGTAGGATGCTTTTGAAATTTTCTTTTCTAATATCATAATTTTATTAATATAATAATTACTCTTATTACCATTTTCGTTCCTTTCACAGTCATTATTAATACAACCATCGCCATCATTGTTTTGTTTTTTTTGGGTGGGAGGGAAACTTTTATTTTCATCGGCATTTACACTCATTTTTTTTTCCCGAAAATCAGAGATAAGACTTGCAAGGTTTCTAAGTTCAGAATTCTGTGCTATTTTTGTTCCCTGCCATGATTCTCTCGCCAAGAATTACATTCTTATCGGAAAAGGAGAAAGTGAAGAGAACATTTTGTCATTTCGTAAACAACCACTTTTGTATGTATTTTCAGTCTGATGATGGTATAGTTTATACCGAAAAATAACTGTGACTTAACATCTTGGTTTTCTAATCTGTTCATTTGTTGTCAAATTTAAAGACACGATGAATTTACTCGGTCTATCATTCATCTTAAACGACAATTTTCCTTTTTTATTTTGCTAACCGTACTTTGACAGTTTGTCAGTGCAGGAAAACAACAACAACAACAAAAAACAAACAAACAAACAAAAACAAAAAAAAAACATGGGAAGCGAGATGGTAGAAAAAGAGATCACGGAATTCTATGATTGGAGAGATTACTCGGGCCTTTCATATAGCATTAGTCATAATTTCCTCGTTATCTCAGGTAGGCCAACGTGGTTTAAGATAAATGAGGACAACGCACCCACCGTGAATTTTCTCATGGAAGAAGACGTGGGGATGAGGAAGAAATTCACTGTATGCGATATTGCCGTTGGCTTGCCTACAACAATCCCTTGTCTCAAAGAAGAATGGGTGAATGAGAAACGACGCACCAGTAAATGGCTGAGAGAAACTGATCTTTTGGAGAAGTATCGACATGCAACGTATTCAGTGGTGTCCAAGTCGTGGAAGTCCCACGAGACCAACCTGTCATTTTGGAGGATTTCCTACTCGTGGATAGAGAAGGAGTTCGTCAATAGTCTTCCACGAGAGCCTAAAATTTGCCTGATTATCCTGAAGGCGATTCGCCGAAAGCACTTGAGCAAACCTAAAGGGCTGATCAGCTACCATTTGAAATCAGTGTTTCTTTTCCATTTGGACAAGAATGGGAGTGATTGGAAGAGATCTGATCGTGCACAGAACATCCTGAGACTGCTTGCAGAAGTCGCTGAAGCCCTTCAGTCACGGTCACTTCCTCGGTACTTTGAACCCAGGCTCAACACGATGGAGAGCCTGAACGTGGAGACTGCAACCGAGCTGGAGAGAAAGGTGCAAGAGATAATTCGCTCTGGGCGAATTCTACTCGAGGGATGTCTGTTTCAGTCCATGAGTGACGGGCACAAGAAGGAACACTTCCAAAGGGGGTGTTCAGATCCTGTGTGGTTTGACAAACCACCTTCCCCCCATACAAAATCGCGCTGTGAAGACTTTCTCGAGTAAAGCTACAAGGAGAAAAAATACATCATTTTATGGAACTCTTTTGAAATGATTAAGAGCACACAAAATTTTTTTAGGAAAAAAATTTCCTTGAAACATGTAAAATATAGCGATGGTATATCAAGGAGAAATTGAATTGTCAGAATACAATTGAGCAAGAGATTTTCAATTAAGTAAAGGAGCAGCTTATGAATGATTCTTTTTTCTCGTTCTGTCTTTGTTACCCAGTTTTCGCCCCAGTTACGCTAACATTTCTTTTGATATTATTCGTTCATTGCCACCAATCAAAGACTCCTTGGAGCTTATCGAGCTCATGGTACGTCTTAATTATTCTAATGATAGAAGTGCTTCTCCTCCTTTCAAATTACAAAGGGTCCAGAGATTACATGCGAACCCCACACGTGGAACTTAGGCCTCCCGTCAAATCTCTAGTTTGCAAATTCTATGAGAACTTTACCTTAGAAACACTCAGAAGGCCGGTCATTCATACAAAGTTAACCGTTGTTTAATAAATTCGCGATCTACATCATCTTTAATTTAGCTGAACCTTTAAACTGAACATTTATTTTTGAGAACAGTGTCAAGAGGGCCAAAAGCAAACAGTGGAAGGGTATTTATTTAATCAAATCACTCTTCTTATAGAGTCCCTGAAGCCCACTGCATGCTTGCGTAAAACCGAGGTTTGCGTTAGACCTTGTGTAAATAACTGGCCCTCAGGCTTCAAATTTTGACCAGCTATGCGCATGCGTGTCTCTCATGTAGTCTCCGCTCTGTGGGTGACTGTGGGTGAATTCCAATCAAACTTCAACTTCCAGGTAAGTCTCACGCAATCGTTTAATTCAAATTTCTAGTCTTTCAGGCGAGTGGATGAAATTGTGCGGGGCAAGATACCTGCCGGAGGAGGTGTCTTTTGACTAGCTCCTCCACTTGCGCAAGTCTCACACATACGGCGCGCGCTTTTTTCACGCTTGCCACGTGCTTTCCTATGCTCGCTTGAAAACACAAAAAATGGCGCCTGTTCCACAGGTTTATACACCAAAATTCGCCTTCTTCGACCAGGCGATTGAGGGTATAGATTTTCTTAAACTGACCCAAGGTCAGAGAGGCACATCGCTCTTTCTAGGGTTGACTAAGAACTTCTAACAACCTTTCAAATAAGCAAGATGGAAAGTGATAGCAAAAAAACTTTAATTCGTCTTGTCTCTTTCTTATTCTGTTCACACATAACACTTTCTACGTTGGTCATCGTAGCTGTAAGCAGGACGGGTGTCACACTTGATTCTCATAGTTCATAGTGAAGTCTCTGTGGCTCTGCGGTAGAGATCGGAACGCGAAATCTGACAGTTTTAGGTTCAATTCCTCATCATGTGGACTTTTTCCCGCCCTCGAGTGCAGACAAACATCTTCCTCAACAACAATCAAATTTATTTTGCTTTTTTTTTTTTACCTATCATATATAATCAGTCCTAAACTCTTAGGACTACTGAAGCTCGATACGCCGTGCTGTGGTTCACCTAGTTAATTGCCCATTGCCCATGTTGCTCTCTTCTTGTGTGATAAAATGACAGCACTTTGAATATATATTGCGTACTTTTAATTTTGTTTTGCGCGTTAATTTCTAGGATCTCTTTTCCCTTCACCTCTAAATTACATTACGTCATCGTCATCTTTGCATCAACACTCCTTTGTAAGAAGATAACAAACAGCTAATTATTCATTCGCGCAGTTTCAAAAATTCAGCTGCTGTGAGTTTTTTTTCTCTTGTCATGCCAATTCATCACACACAATGTCTTTCATTAAGCTTGATAGTTGATTAGCTGGCTGAACGTGCAAACAGAACTCCGCGCCGAATCCGTGACGTAGCAGCCAATTATTGGCTGCAGTTGCAGTAATGCGTATTCATCTGTAGTTGAAGAATTTTCAGGAAACCGCGCTGTTCTCCGTAGTGTTAAGACCTAACGTCCGTTATACTGAACAACGTTGCGCTCCGGAAAGAAGAGGACACTGGAAGGGGAAAGAAGAGTAACGAAAGGACTTCCTTGTCACTGGAACAGCAGGTGAGCATTGACTTGAAAAATACCGCCTTCATCTTCTTCAGAGAACGATACGAATGAGTCGTATTGGCTCGGTTCGATGACATGGCACAAATCAGTTGCTCAGGCAGAAAGGCTCTCCAAGTCGAAATTACATCGACTTGGGTGTTGGCTTCAAGAAAAGCAAAGCCTATTAAACATTTTCAGTGAAAAGCTTAAATAAAAATGTTTTGCTCCACAAATCTGTTGGAGACTGGGGACTTCATTTCGTATTTATATATTGCCAAGTGGAACTCTGGTGACTCTTGTGTACTCAGTGATCTTTGCTTGGATGTAAACACAATTTTAAAATGTATTGACGATTTCACTTTTTCTATAATCGTTTCAAAGAGCACTACGATTATACAGCATTTTTATTTGTTTTCCTAAAGTATGCATTCTCTGATCACATACATATTTTGTTTTTTTAGGAAGAGCAAAGCTTTCAAAAAGGATGGAAGAATAAGGATTATGGCCAAGATAAGACTCTGGAATCACTGAATTTTAAGTGGATACTGCAAAGATTAGAAGTTGGAAATAATTTAGTGATACTAGCAAAAATGGTGCCCTTTGTATGTCTAATTATCTTTGTTCTTTCGCCAATTGTCTAGAAATGGGTAAAACGGTTGCATGGTAAGTAAATAGCTTTCAATTTGCCACCATTTTTGGAATAGTTTGCTGTGTTACGAATTGTTCTGCAGACCGTGAGCGATGGTTTGATTTATTTGAACAACCAGCTATAATTTGGTGCAATCTATCTCAGACGATCTCGAGTTACAACGAGTTAAGGACAGAAACAACTGTAAAGCGATATTTCCATGGCTACGGAAAGCTGACACTAAATTATTAATTTCAAAGCTCTGATCGCTCATTGATTTTGGTTTGTTTAACATCTAGTATCAGTCATATCCCAGTTGATGTCACACAGAGGTGAAATTAAGGTGGCACTCAAATCAAGTACTTCGGCCAGACAAAAGCCAAATGGAATTCAGATTGAAATCTTTTGATGAGCTTGATTCATTCTCGAGGCGAATCTCCTTTTTGTCAAAAATCACATTGCTGAACACAATCGACCTAAGAAATCTTCAAAAAGCTAGTTTTTTACCTTTGGGAAGACTCTGCAACAGATAACATCGACTCGGTATCTTGCATACGGCTTAAAAAACACCAACACCGTCACCAACCGATCAAAATAAAACAGACTGATCAAAGCTGAGTAATAAACGGACGAACGGCAGCCAGTTTATTGCAAAACTTAACAACCAACTTTATACCCAAAGTTGTAACCGTCGACTTGTACATGATAGCCTCGATTTCATGTTTAAATTTGCGCCTGCAGTGCATGTACAGCGGCATTTCGCGGAACGAGCAAAGGGAGTATTGTTTACCCCATTCTGAAGACTTCTACTCCGGACAGACATAATTTCGTCAACAAACCTTTCAGTGAGGACTACTCTGGTCCGGACGATTGTACTTAACGATTACTTATTTTAAATCATTAGCCATAAGGGACGTTCAGAACATGAAGACCCCGAACCACCTGAAAACATTTTGAACTATTTACATTTATTGTTTCTTTTAGAATTTACATATTTATTGTAGATTATTAGCACTGCTAATTAGTTATTCTATATCTTCCAGCGTTAGCCCAGCTATTTGGGAGTATAAGTTCCAAGTTCCAAGAAAAAGTTCGCCTAAAATATTTGATTTAATTGAAAATTCATTCTCGGCATAAAATATATTCACGGGAAATTTAGGAACTTTTATTAAAAAAAAAATAAGTATTTGAGTTTCATGCAAGAAGCAAGAATTAAATACAGTGCCGTCTAAGTTACAAGATAATGTATTCTTTTGAATTTTGCACTGGAGAACGAGGCCAGAAGGGCTAATTTAAATTTAGACAAAAGAATATTAATCCGGCAGCCATTTATGAAAGTTGTCTACGGATATTTCTTCTGCCAACAATCAGTAACTGGTTTGACAGTGATTGATATTTTTACTTTATAAGACTCTTACTAAAATCATCCTTAGCTAGAATGAGTTAAAACTTTGATAGAGGTTAGACGCTTTGGCCCATCTAGGGATAGAGCAAGTGGAAAACTATAGATTTGCAGTAAAATATGACCATGCAACTATGCAAACTACATGATTCTCACGGGACAGCTGTGTGGTATCCGACACAAAATCCGGGAGTGAGCAAACTCTGTTGCTGATATTTAGTTATCCTGCTTGTGGCTTTTTCCTTGAAATACCAGGACATTACATAAGTACATGAATTTCTGGAGTTCACAGTTCTTAGGTGTCACGGTAACAATGTACACAAAATACTTTTGTTCCCTGAGAATCAATTAAAGTAGTACTACTTCGTAAAATTTCCGTAGCATTCTGAGTTTTTTCGGAGGACGAAAAGCTGTACAAATACGAGTTTGAAGTAATGTGTAATAATTAAAACAATTCATAGAAACAAACAGGCTATTGATCTTCTTCGAAGCCATAGTAAACCACAATTTAGCTCGGAAAAGCGTTGCATAACGGCCTTAAGTCATAGTACGACAAAGGAAAAAGATTTGAACTTCTAGCAAAATGGAAGAGTACAGTTCGAAGACACCTTAAAACACAAAGATAGCCTTTAAGGAAGTATTTTTATTCTGCTGCAAAAAGCTTAACTGAGAACATATATGCTAAACTTTGTATTATGAACTTCTGCTTCACCAGTAGGCCGCTTTTGAAGCTCTAGCTCTCACTACAGCAATCATCCATGGACCCCTCATCGAAAGAAATAGTACTATTACTATCGGTTAAAATGACGAACAGCAACGTTTTTCAAGCACGATCGACAAATTCCTTTATCTACTTAGACAGAGCTTCGTCGAAAGGAATAATATGATGTCACGATGGGCAAAAACGTTGAAAAAATACCGTTGGTTCAGTTGTTGTAGTTTGAGCAATGGCGGAACAGTATTTTTTCTTTTCGTTTAGGATCTAAACTTTAATTGTCGGCATAATAAAATTTGTTTTGAAGAACACCAATTTTCGTCTCGGTAGCACTTTAAACGATCTAGGAAAATTTGGATGATCGACATCATTCTTACAATTGTTCTCTAATCTTCGAATTTGAAAATAATAAGATTGGCTAAACCGTTGCTATGGTAACCTCAGTTGGATAGCCTAAACATGCACAGTGATAATAAGGTACTTGTATTTCTTTGACATTGGTGAAACAGTTAAAAAGTGTAGATGGTAGATTTTATTACGAATAAACTTAACGGCCTGCTCCCAGTTGGCTTGTTAGCTTAATTGGTAGAGCGCCGCACTAGTATCGCAGAGGTCAGTGGTTCGAATCCCGTACAAGCCTGATTTTTTTCAGGTCTGATTTTCGCTATTGCATAAATAGCGCTATCTACTGCGAAGGATCGTGCATCATACGTATTTAATACCGCAGTTCAAAATATATGAACTTCATATATTCATTGAT